AGCTAAATGGAAGGAAAAATAATAACTTCTGGATTTTTAGAGAACTGGGATCCCCCGTTATTATTTTATCATTTTTCCTTCCCTTTAGTTCAATATTTTTGACTTAATAAAACTAATTTCCCTAAAAATCTTTTCTTTCTGCGTATATTTCTTTCATCAAATTAAGTGGGAAAGACTGAAGAAAAAATTAGATCTTAGTGATAAAGCATTGTACTTCTTAATTTTTTGAAATAATAATACTTTTAGGGGAACACTTTCATCTTCCCACATTCCTGCCTTGCTCAGATCTCCCATTTTCTTCTTGACGCCCCTCGCTCACTCATCCACGCAAGTGTCCACATGCTCTCTCTGTGATGAGGTGCGTAATTTCATCCCGTGGGAATCCAGACCACTGTGGCTGCAAGTTTGCATTGCATTCCCCAAACTAGCTTCATCAGTCACACGGCACATACGGATGCCCGTTGAGGGAACATCCATTTCTCTATTGATTCCAAAGGCAGAGCAGAGAGGGATACAATTAATTGACACCCTAAAACTTCAAGGACAACTACAGCAATTTTTCCTATGAACATAACTCTGCTGAAATCAATGTCCCTTTGCAGGCTAGACTCAGAAGCAGACTGCTCCTTGGTTTGGGGGGTCGTCATGGCTTAGCTCTTCCACTGGCTTGGATATTAACCTATTATACTTCTCTGAAAAGCAAACCTAGTCCCACTAGCTGCAAAACCACTGATTTCCCTGTTTCCATTCCCAGCATACCAAAGCTCCACTTCAGGGCCTGCACAGTTTCTAATTCCCCATGTAGGTTTGAGGTATTATAGCTGCCTAGGTGTTCTGCTCATTCTACTGATGGAGCAAAATTAATGCAAGTAAAATAGATGGACTTGGTCCAGGCCTCTTGTCAATTATTCGTGATGATTATCTCACCATTCCTTCAAAATAGCTCCCCACCTCCCTATTTACCAATACATCTATTCCATGAACTACCAATTTTTAACAAAAATGAAAAATCCAGGATAGTTTATGCTAAAGAAATAAAAGCTCGCTTTAAAATATCTGTTCTTCATTCACAAGACTACATCTGCGTATAATAATTTGAAATGTATCTCAGACACCTGTTGGTTTTTTATGTTAACACATTAAATTGGCTCCATTTAAAAATATATGGTATCAGCCAACAGATCAAGGATTCTTGGCTTCTGAAATTCAATAGTCTCTCATTTTTCACAGTTTTAAATCTCATGATTTAAGTACATGTACACAATTTGTTCAAATGTATTTCATGGCTTATAAGTACTGATTATGCTTCTTGAAATAGTCTGCCAGCTAAGACATGTTCATACTTGATTTTGATCCATGCTACATTAAGAAATTTATTCAAAGAATTGTGACATTATTCAGGAATCAAAAGGCAAAGAGAAACACACAGCATGTTTCTTGCCCAAAATTATGCTCTGGTTTAAGGAAATATTTTCTCAAAACCATGTTACTTAATTCTACCTAATTCAGATCACATCTGCCATCACTTTGTCCAGGCCAAGAAAAATAGAAACATTTTAATTGGAATTTAATGTCAAAGTTTTCCAAGTTTTATAAAGAAGCGACTTTTCTGGACACTTAGCAGGTTCTCTGCCTTCCACCTCAAAATGACTAAGCATAGGAGAGCTCTCTTGGGCATTCATCTTGGTAATGACAAATAATGTATTAGATATAAGTATTTGTGCCTAAAAACCCATAAACTTGTAAAAGGCTTTCTGTTTTGCTTGTATGACTAAGATAGGGCAGTTACAACTGGGAAACATTGAGTGTAGAGAATAGCATTATTATGTAAGTTCCCAAATTAAGACCTGAAAAAAGAATACAGCAAGATCTGATTTGATAGCCTCATAATCAGACCCTCCTTTATACCCTGTCTTCACACAAAATCACAAAGCCAGATGTGACTCAACTTTTCCTTTGAAATCTTCAGATGTTGGCAGACTGGGAATCGTGAGCTGTGATAGCTGATGGCCTGGCAACCATGAAGGAGGTAGAAAAGTTATCATAAAATTCCTGAAGCTCAGCACCGGGCCCTTTTCACAATGCAGAAAGAGTTGCTCATGGCATAGTCACCCCTACGGCACCATTCCATTAGAACGAGGTCAAATAGGAAGTACAAGCGAATGTGAATGCATGTGCATTCGCACATGAGATCTTGAGTCTAAGATCTCAAGGAAATGGCATTCTGTTGGAAAAGCAAGATTGACATTCAGGAATAATTAGGAATACTAAAAGACAGAACAGGCAGATTTTTCAGCTCAAAAGTGAATTCTTACTCAACAAGTCTTGTCCTCTCAATATTTGTTGAACCTGTGAACTCCTTTGCAGACCCACAGCCACAACCTTATTTTGAGACTTCATACCCTCTTTTGGATGATTGCAATAACCTGTTAAGGAGTGTCCTGCTACCCATCTCAGCTCTCTCAAATGTTTTCTCCACATGCCTGCTGGAGAGAAAAATGAGAACCTGACCATCTCCTGCTTAAAACCTCCCAGTGGCCCCACCCCCTGCTCAGGACCGTCTGTGCTCCCTGATTCCTAACATGGCTTGTGAAGCCCTGTCTGATCTGACCACTTTCCTCCTCCCTGACACCTCTCAGCCAATTTTCTAGCTATTCCCTACATACAAACCCACAGGTACACTTACAAGGAAACATAATGGTTACGTGTTATTTTCAATCTTCCTGGAACTTTTTTCTGTTTAGAAAATACTTTGACTTTTTCATGTCCTTCAATTAGGAGTCTCAGGACACACTTAATAACAACGATGATATGTTTATAGAGCCAGGATAATGTTGCATTTAAGTTCTGTTTATTGGAAAACAAATTTTGTATTTCTTTATCAAATATTCTTCACCCGCCTTCTGTGATTGCCTATTCCAAGTACATACATCTTAAAGTCCAAGTTGTCACCTTTTGCTTTTCTGCTTCAAATTGTCGGGCAACTGCATTCTCCTAGTGTCCTTCCCCAGCTATCAAGGCTGATGGAAATAAAAGTTTCTCTGCACCAAATGAAGATGCAGAATAACAGCCACCATCCTACATGTTTATTAGAATCTAGTGATTTCTAAGAAAGAATGTAATAGATAAATACAGAATATAGAATAAAAGTACCAAGTTCAAGACTCATTACTTTACATACTAAGTTGTGCCCTTGGGTCATTTAAATTCTATGATGCTCAGATTTCTCCAAGTATAATATAAAAATTGATAACAGCTTTCTCTACCCCACAAGTTTGTTGTGAGGATAAAATGACAACCAAAATATGAAAAATGCTTTTCTACCTTTAAAACACTTGTAATGTTAGTTAATTTTTTTGCATTAAGCCATACCATTAGAATCTTGTGCAAGTCTACATTGTAGCATGCACAATGCTTTATATTTTTATATTGTAATTTAAAGTTTTTACTCCCAAAAATAGAAATAATATTTTTTCCATATTATACACTAAATGTGTCTTCCTGCCTAATAATCAAATACCACATCTCCTTCATAGAGATCCAACTTGTCTCCTTAGGAATTAAAAATCGTCACAACCCACTTACTGTTACGATCACTTGATGCCATCGAGCTTTTGAAAAAACAGAGTGCCGTTACTGTCTTTTACTTTAGGAATTATTTACATTTCAGCTTAAAGCAATCTGAAATACTCTACTAAAAGCACCCACAACAGAGATTTGTCATCTGTATATGAACCGATATTATTTTAAAAACAGAAAAGTTGGTATTTCTTCTCTTCTCTGAGATTTAATGTTAATAACCAAAGGTTACTAAAATTGCTATTCATCCAAGAATACTAAAAATCTTATTATAATTGAAAATTTAAAAAGAATTAAAAAAATGAGCAAAATGCACATAAAATTCCAATAATAATAGAAATAATAATTGTGATATACACTTAATTTTTCACAGGGATCAAAGCTATTGTGTGTTATTTTCATATTATCCAAAATATTTGAAAGGCTAGGTCCAAGTTTCTCTTCCTGAATTTAGAATATAATACATACTCTAAGGCCAAATCATAGAATCTCTTTAAATTCTGCTTAAAGTTTGTTCATAGGTCCAATCATGTATTGCATGGTGTCAACATCTGAAGAGTAAGCCTTTAAGAAGAAGCTGCAGTGTGGGTTTGGGGCAATGCCAAAGATCAGGTTACTGTTTACTTTCAATTAGGCTGTGGAAGATAATTGGTTCTTGTGCAGGAAAATTCCTACAAATTGTGATTGCAGTAGGCAGATATCCATCTGAAGAGATCTGAGAGGTATCTAAAGGCCTGCCACCATATTTTAAGTATCATTGTTTAGTGTCATTTGGATATTAAGAACAGAACTTACATGAAGATCCAAAAATCATGATAATGAATAAATCCATGAGTTTCATGAGACCATTGTATTATACTATTGCAGTAGCTATGTAGATGACCTGAGGTCGCCCTGGGCTTTTATGTTTTTGAAAATATAATTTATACTAATGCTATATTCAATGAAAGTATACATTAATCAATTTTCCTGTGCTATGCTACTAAGTGGAGTATTTCGTACTCTAGTTACAGGCAGCATAGCATCTCTATAGTGCACACAAAAAAATTCAAGCAAGGCTTAATTATAAGGCAGAAGATGGTTACTCAATAATAATGTGTAAAAGCACACCTGGGACAAAATATATTTGTATCTCTAGACTGTCAGAGAGCCTAGAATTATTACCACTAAGCCGAACTCCATTAAATGTGAAAATAGAGTCTCCAGAGTCCAATTTTTTTAAAAAGGTCTAAGGTGACACGTTATTCTACCATCAATCATTGCTATATTAGCACAGACTAGTTGATCAGTGTCCTAGTATGTGTGTGTGAGCACACCCAGTCTTCATACCAGTGGGAACAGGGAAACAGACATCTCAGAGGACAAATCCAGATGGGACATTGGATAGAGAGCTTAAACACCCATAAGAAACAAAAAGTTGCAAAGAGTATGGATGTGGGAGGGGAGAGGAAGAAGGGGTTTTGGAGGTATAAGGAGATAAGAATGCCCTCATTACAGAATCAACGCAAGCTTTTGTAAAGAAATTGAAATAATTCTAGATTAAATTCTATTATGTTGTATAAATGAGCACTGAAAATAAGTCATTGGCCCCAAATACAAAAACAAGTGAGCTGAAATTAAGGGGATGATTGTAGTGTAGATCTTCTGATCCCAGGGTATTATTAATTTATATTAACTTACAGCCTTCAGTCTATATATAATTTCAAATAAGCTATACATATTTGGTTTTTTAGTCACTCAAACTTTTATCATGCATCTACTATGTATTAAGCTCTATGTGAAAGCTAGAGATCAAAGATGATTAAAATTCAGCACCATACTCAAATATCTCACAATTTAGTGGAGGACATAAAGATACCAAATATTTGACAAAGGAATGTATAATATACTAACGGAATTCAAATAATGGAGAGACCAATTATAATTTTATTTCAAACATGAATAACTGTTAAAAGCAAATGGTACAAAATATCCTTACCAATTGGGGGGGATGTTAACATTTTCCATTTATTCTCAACTTACACCAGTCAAATTCCAACAAAATAATTATCACGTGGGTTACATTTTTTTTAATCAGCTGGATGGTTGGGATAAATGGTTGATCACTCAAGGCCAGGCTACATCTTCATTTTAGTGCTCTCACCACTGCCCACCACAGTTTAAGAGTATTTTTGTAACAGAATTTTATCTACGTTTTAAAAGTATTTTGGATCTCAGAACTGAGAGATTTTATTGTAAATAAAAGTGACTGAGGGAAAGCAGAATATAACGTGATGGAGATTTTTAAAATAAAGTCACATGACAGTGCATATGAGAATCTCCTTGATACTCTATCCATCTAATCAGTTCCAGTAATAACATTTTCTTCGCAAGGCTTTAGAAGTTCTTCCATTGAAGCCCTTATGTTACTTTGAGAATTTTAGTAGTCAAATAACAAAAAAGGAGAGAATGAACTCAAAATTAATGTATGCCCTGTTCTTTTAATAAAAATTATCCCCATTCATTATCCTACTTACAAATAAGTCTTTAGGGAGTGTTTCTTCCTAATGTTTACAATGAAGTCACTCTAGCTGGCACTCAACTATGTTAAATTTTTAACGAATTCATAACTAGTCTGGGCACCTCTCAAAACGGGGACCCTCTGAATGCATGAATGGACTTTCTTTATGTTACCAAATCTGGCTGTTTTGAAATCAGAGAAGCCTAGGGATATGAGTTTTGTTTTTTTTTTTTTACAAAAAAGCAAATAAACAGATAATCTTTTTCAGAGTATTGCAAGCTTCGTGGCACACAAACGTGCTCTGAGGTAGCACCTTTTTCACCAATGGAGAAAACAAGAAGAGGAGGAGATGGATGAGCACAATGATTGGCTGTTACCATAGTAGCGATGTCAGCACCACAAAACACAATCTTTAAAAAGGTATTGTTTTTAAATATATTTATCAACAGGTAAACCCAATGGCAATTAAAACCAGGCATTGAGGATTAAGACTGAAGCCCTGGACAAAGATGAGCATCTCACGGAGAAGCTGGCCTATGTACAGAACAGTGTGGTTGAGTAGGGTGAAGGGACACCTTCACAGGGACATCTAGGTGAATACCAGCAGCTTTTATAAGACTGCTCCTTTGTAGCATTTATCTCAATCTTAACTACATCATTTCTTATGCATTAACTCTAGAAAACTCATCTCTCCAGCTAGAATGTAAGCTCCTTGAGAGAAGGAACCTTTTCTGAATCTCAGTGGTTGCTGTGCATAAAATATGTGCTTAATACATATTTGTTGAATGAAATGGATGAATAATTGAGGATACTTGAATACAACTCAAGCCTACATTGAGATGAAACTATGAAAATGCCAGGAAAGGAACACAGACTGTATACAAATAATATGCTATAAAGGTTCCCAATTGCCTATGTCATCTGACCTTATATCCTTGAGGAATCTCCTTTTCTAAGATGCCAGAGATACCCACGGGCTCAAGTGACCACTAGGTGACATATCCACATCCACAAGGAAGAGACAGTTTTTTGTTCATTTGTTTGTTTTGCCTTTGTTTTAATATAAGTACCACTTATATGTTTCATTTTGGGCTGGACTCTCTCATTTCATGATATTAAAAAATGCCTCAAATGGAAATGCCCCTGGTTGTAACATAACCACTAAAATTATATTAAGATGTCAAAATAAATAGTATCAGAAACTTTCCTAAAAACTCGATTTTAATACAAGAGATGAGGATGTGTGCCCTTATGATAAGGGAAAAGCATTAGAAAGAGAAATCTAATATACATTTGAACTTCGTTAAAATAGGTTTGAAGCTACAGACTGGAGTTTTATTTTGTTTATATTTAGTTCAGAAATGAGTACTTATTCTGTGCTAGGCATTGTGCTTCAGGATTAAACAAGGTGTTTTGAGATGTCTACCTGAAGTTGCTTACAGACTCACTTCTAGACCATAATAACTCGAAGTAAGCATGTCATAGACTTCCAGTTTCCTACACCCAGGAGCTCCACTATTCCTCTGAGTTGAGGGAAAGGGATTAGAATACAGAGAAAGAAGGAAACAGCAAAATTGAGGAACATGGGGAATGCATTCCAGTACTGCTCCAAACTCCTTAACCTCTCCCATATCAATGGGGACATTTAGAGAGGCCACAGTGTTATCCATATTCTCATAATTCAGAAAGGAATTGGGCAAAGAAAAAGAATAGGCACTATGGACTAAGTTGATTCTGAAACCCAATTATCATTCCAAGAAGGTAAAGTCTCACAAGATTCCAAGGATTTCAGAAGCATCCTGACACCCAAAATTGTGAGATTTGGGCCCATTCCATGAACTGATCATCTCTCAGCAGTTACTGAATTAATGAGGAGCTAGAAAATACTTGTTCTTCTCAGTCATAAAAAAACTACAAACTAACAATATATGGCTAGTTTTAAAATTAAGTGTGTATTTTATGAATTTGCCAAATTATTTGTTACACCTCTCTAATCATTCAGAGAATAGTATTTATTAGGAAAAATTAAATTGGCTTAGCAAAAATATTTTGTTTATTTGTTTAGGAAATGCCTTACACAAAGAGATTGCATTTTGGATGTTGACGATACATTTGTAAAAGCAGAAGACTATGCCAAAAAATTAGAGAAAATGAACAAATGAAGAAATCCAAGAAAGACACAAACTACCAGAATTCACTCAAGAAGACATAGAATCCGAAGAGACCTATAACAAGTAAAGATATTGAATCAGTAGTTTTAAAACTTCCAAGAAAGAAAAGCCCAGGCCCAGAGGGATTCACTGGTAAATTCAATCAAATATTAAATTGACTTTCAAAAGGGTACCAAGACAATTCAATGGGAAAAGAATAATCTCTTCAACAAATGACACTAGGACAGCTGGAGATCCATATGCAAGAGAATGAAGTTGAACCCCTACTTCACACTATATATAAAAATTAAGTCAAATGGATCAGAGACCTACATGCAAGGGATAAAACTGTAGAACTCTTAGAAGAAAACTGAGGAGTAAGTCTTTATGACTTTGGGTTTGGGAATGGTTTCTGAGATATGACACCAAAAGCAGAAGTGAACAAAGAAAATATAGATACATTGAACTTCAACTTTTGTGCTTTGAGAATGCTATCAATAAATTGAAAAACATCACTCACGAAATGGGAGAAAATATCTGCAAATCACACATCTCATAAGGTATTTGTATCCAGAATGTATAAGGAACTCTTACAACTCAACAATAAGAAGACATATAACCCAATTTAAAAAATGGACAAAGGACTTGAATAGACATTTCTCCAAAGAAGACATACAAATGACCAATACGTATATGAAAAGATGTTCAACATCATTCATTAGGGGAATTTGCAAATCAAAACCAGGAGATAACACTTCTCACCCACAAGGATGGCCAAAATTAAAAAAACAAACAAAAATGAGTGCTGGCAAAAATGTGGATAAATTATAACCCTCATTCATTGCTAGCAGAAATGTAAATTGGTGTAGCCACTTTGGAACACATATGTCCACAAGAAATCTTGTAAACACTATTCATAATAGCCAAAATGCAGACGTAACCAAAATGCACATCAATTGATGAATAAACTAAATGCAGTACATACATACAGTAGAATATTATTTGGCAATAAAAAGGAATGTAGTACTGATATACACAACAAAAATGGGTGAACCTTGAAACATTATGCTAAGTGAAAAAAAGCCATTACAAAGACCACATATCACATGTTTCTATTTACATAAAATATCCAAAATAGGCCATTCCACAGAGACAGAATGTGGATTAATGGCAGCCAGGGGCAGTGACAAGAAAGAAGTGGGGAGGGGGAATATGAAGTCACTGCCAATGGGTACAGGTATTCTTCTGGAGGTGACGAAAGTGTTCTAAAATTAGATAATGTTGATGGTTCCACATATCTGTGAATAGACCAAAAATTACTAAATTGTACACTTAGAAAGTTTTATTATGAAAAATTTCAAACATACACAAAATTAGAATGTATAATGAACCCCCAGTAACTATTACCCAGCTTCATCATACATACCAATATTTTGACAATCTTACTGTATATTAGATAATATTAAGGGATTATCATTAACTTTGTTAGGTATGTTAGGTAAGATAAGGTCTGATAAGGTGTGATAGGTATATATATATTTTTTAATATATACATTTATACTAATAATGAAGAATTTACACCTAGAAGTAAGGGCACATTGCATTTTATATACTTTCTATACATTGTTAGTATATTGTAATAAAAAGTAATAGTGGATTAGTAAAAAGTAAAAGTAATAGTTGGCCAGTTGAAATTGACTTCTGGGAACAATTTGTTTACATTTTATTTAAAAATATTTCTCTCAATCAGAATTAGCAGAAAGCATTCTGGACCCTCTGTAGAATCTGTCTCACAGTCCTAGGTCCAAACATGATTATCTACATTTCCATAGTAGCAGAAAATAGTAGCCAGAATTAAAAGAAAGTAAATCAGGCAACAGCATAAGTGAGGAGGTAACTGGATCTGTCTACAGTCCACTCGTTTGTGCCTATATATTATCCACTGAGCTAAATATAGAGAAACCAGATTTTCTCTTTATTTTCTCATCTTACAATTCAGTGATTTTCTTTCCAGTCAATTCTAAATATAGGACATCACAAAAGCTCTGTCTACAAAATTATATAACTTAAGTATCCAAATGTTTCATTGACATATACTGGATATTACAACTCCAAAGACCTCTGATCAGTTTGCAATGATAAGAACAGTGTTTGTGACACACTTGAAGCCAAAAATACAGAATATGATGAACTGAGATTCCTATCCAGCACGACAGAAATGTGAATGTGCTTCTCTCTGGTGTACAAAGTTTGGAAAATGCTAGACCCCAAGATTCACTATGGAATTTGATGATCCATAGTGAACTTGAAACAGTAAATGGTATGGCTTCAGTCCTATTTGGTAATTCATGCCGCATAGGTGTGCCTTTTATTGCTATCTAGCCATTTACAATTGCTATTATAATACAACATTCTTAAGTAATCATGTGACTTTTAATAGCCTCACTAGCTACTCTGGGACCTCTTGAAAAAATCATTCATAATATATATCTTACTACAAATATCATCCCATTTTGTTAAAGATATCTTTGTATCTTTTGTTATATTTTCTTTCTATATGCCACGTTACTACTATGCGATAATAAACATTTTTAAAAGTTATGGGAGGGATCATGATCCAACCATATTTTGTACAATTTTATGACATTAAAACAAATGTGCTCTCCAAATTAAAGAATAAATTTTAATAAAAATAAAAACATATAATTTAATGCTATTTATGTCATGTAACTGTTTAGAACAAGACAGAAATGAGAAGAAAAAAAGGAAGCAGTTAGATGGAATTAATACAGTTTACTAATAGAGCTCATGCTTTCCAATTCAGCTTACAAAGGCTTTTAAACACTCGTTAAGAGTTATCATCAAAACCATTGGACTCACATATAACAGCATCAATCTAGAATTATTAAAATGTAGAAAGTGTGAATAAATCTAGGATCAGGGGTCCTACTAAGTGACTGACCTGCTAGAAATCCTTTGTGATGTTTACTGAACAATTTTTTTCATTAAAATGAACATCACAAGGAAAGTTTAATACACTCTGAGTTCTGCAGGCATTTATAGTCTTTTGCTTTTTTAAAAGTACTGAAGTAAGAAAGCCAAGGGATTCACCTTGATTGAAAATAAAGAACCGGGCCAGCCTTGTGGCATGGCAGTTAAGTGCGGACGCTCTGTTGCGGCGGCCCAGGGTTCGCAGGTTCGGATCCCGGGTGCGCACCAACGTACCACTTGTCAAGCCATGTTGTGGTGGCGTCCCATATAAAGTGGAGGAAGATGGACACAGATGTTAGCCCAGGGCCAGTCTTCCTCAGCAAAAAGAGGCGGATTGGCAGATGTTAGCTCAGGGCTGATCTTCCTCACAAAAAAAATAAAATTAAATTTAAATAAAAAAAAGAAAAGAAAGAACCCAGGTATGTTTGAACCTTCCACCTCTGCCATACTGCATATTATATTTTGTTTAATTTTATGGGTAGGGAAAAAAAAAGGCCATGTATTTTACTTATTATTAGTTTAAGTAATAACTTTTGTTTTGATGAAGGAAAATTCATGGTATATGATTATTATAAAAATACAAGGCATAAAGTGTTTGGTGTAAATCATTGTTTACAATTAAGTTCCCATCCTTATTGAAAGTCTATTGCCATTCTACTAATGTATGCATTATTATTCTGGTCTTATGATACTACATAGTAATAAACATACACACATTGGTCACACGTATTTTTGAAAGATATAATTTTAGGAGCTAGATGGGCACATACAAATAAAAAATACAGTATTATCATCCGTGCTGCTGTTTTATACTTTAATAATCTCTATTTCTGATATTTTGAAGTGACATACAATGCAAGTTATACACAAACCTACCTCATAGCTTCTAAATTCACTGGCCTTTCAAACACTTTTCCTAGTCGCCTTTTTAGAAACAAACACATGAATGCTGATGAAGGGGAAAATTAGTCTCCTGAGACACTTTATAAAAGTACCACAAGACTGATGAAAAGGATAAACTGCATCGCACAGGGCTGAATTTATCATGCACACTGCAGAAAAGTCCTTGATGTCGCTAATGTTTGTCTCATGCTCAGCTCCCAGAGCCAAAACTCCATCGCAGAGATTTGAACTGCTATCCAGAGGCATTTCACGATTTGAACCAAAAGGTTTACAGTCCTGCATTCCAGCTAATTCTGCTGCTTCTAATTCTAGCTGGACTTAAACTCTTATCTCTGCATGCCAGGCCTGCAGATAGGGCCTATCACAGTAGCTCCAATTCCCAGAGAATACTCAACTCCATGACCCAAGTGAGATTAAATCCTTCCAGATAGCCTAAGTAAATGGTTCATAACTTGTTCCTGTCACTCCCACTAAGGCCTTTGTACCGTGAAAGAGACTAGCCAAGGTGTAAATATCTTCAAATTATTAGCTATACTTCCCCTTCCTTGCTTCTATCAGTAATTCCAGCGTTGCGCTCCTTATGGAGAACAAGAAACTCAGGCAGTAGTTCCTGAACTTTCTTCTCAAGTGTTCATGAATCAATTTGCAGGTGTCTGTATAGTACCAGTAATATACACATTTCTCTTCTCTTTAACATCTTTCTGGTAAAGTTCTCCCACTTTACTCTGCGTATGCTTCTCTCTCAAAACTGAGGAGCAAACAAATATATTACGGTAAATATCACTTGAGAAACACTTCGGGATTTAGTTTTAAATCCCCCATAATTCTTCACGATTCAGTTACGCATCCATATTTCTCACTGGGCGGGCTTTCCCTAAGCGCTGAGATAAAGCCATGGCTTTTGCTGTTTCTGGCTTTTGGTGCGCTCTGAAGAAATGTTTAGAGAATAAATGAGCAGCTCAGCGCCTGTCTGGGAGTTGGGACTGTAGGAAGAAACTCAGATAAGTAATTCAGGAATGAAGGGACAATGAAAAGACACCTCGACGCTGAAAGAAATAAGGCTCACAACTCTAACTTGCCATATGTTGTTTTAGGTAGTCGAGTTTGCTTTTCTTTTAACATGTATTTTGTCTTCTCTATTTGACCTGTAACTATTGGAAAGAGAAGTACCCTTAATTTGCAGGACTTTACACGGAGGGCATTTCTCATGTGACTGGGAAGATTCAGGCAGAGTCTTCACACGGCAATATCTGAATTGCCGAGCTCTCCTGGTAACACTGTTTTATTTTCCATGATTAGTTTTAACTCATTTTTTAAAAAATTGTGGAAAAATTTAACTCATTTTTTACAACATAATTTATCCACATTTAAACCATTTCTGAAATGAAATATGTAAACTTAGGAGAGAAATTGTAATCTTTTAAATGTGTTTGGAAGCTTCTTATTGAAAGAAGTATTACGAAGCCTTTCATCTTGCATAAGTCTATTTTAAATTATGAATATATATATGTATGTATATATATATATTTTTTTCAAATAATATT